TTATGCTAGAAAACTTAATTGTAAGGCTTTCAGAGGATGGAAAACATGGAATTTCTTGGTCATAATAGTGTCTGTAGGCACTACAAGCCTTTCAGCTGTGCTCATTGACAAAATTTCGTAAGAGAGTATGAAAACTAAAAAACAAAAAATCAGCCCCTGCCTCACCCCTCAAACCCACCCTCCTCAACCAGATGAGAGTAATATTGCATGTTGTGGCACTTTTATGGCCCTCCAGGGAACAGGCTACCCATCTGTGCAGAAGAAATCTCCACCTGTTTTCTGCTGAAAAGAAGAGAAGGAAAGAAAGGGCAGACTGGGTGGAATAAAAAGCTGGGAGAGAAAAAAGAAGATACTGAGGATCCAGGTACTGGAAGCACTTTAAAGCATTCAAAGAATATCGTTGCTCTCATCCAGAGGAGCTGAGGTTTGAAGACCTTCAAGCCTGAGTAGCATTGTTGCCTCAAAAAAAAGAATAGGTGACTGCTGTCTTCATGCTTGCTTGCTCACTGCTATGAGAGAGAAGATGTCAATTAAAAAAAAAAATTAAAAAGAAACATATATCAATGTGCACCAATCTGCAACAATCCGCATGCATTGATCATCCCTCCTTTGAACTTAGGAAACCTCATACTAATTTGCTCGGATTGTGTTTGAATGCAAAATTCTCATAACAAAGTGGCTTGATACAGTTATATCCAGAATTTATGCAGGATGAGAGCTCCATGCAGCCTTTTCATTTACTACACCTATTTTAGTACAAACAATATCATAGCTTTAATAATGTTTTTAAAAGCCTAGTATGACTTCAGGGGGATACCCTACTCAGGACAGGAGATTCACTGGGGAATGCTGGTGGAAGGAATCTGAAGCAGGAGCAAAGTACTTCAAGTAGTAATTAGTGAAAGGTCCACGACGACAGCTGAGGTGAGATCAGGGGAGGAGTAAATGCAAGATTTCATGTAACGCCCAATTCTGATGTAACTACCACTTCTGAATGGATGCCCAAAGTTTAGTTCCTCTCATGCCAAAGCAGAGGGAGCTGTTGGAGGCAGCTGTGTCTGGAGGGTGGGGATCCAGAGGACACCTCACCCCAAGCTGCAGGGGCTATCGCAGACAGGGTCTAGGGCCCAGCCCAGGGACTGCAAGTGGCAGCTGCAGTGGCTCCTGCTGGGGTTCCCCAGAGCAGCTGGGCCCCTCCAGGCACATTCACATGTGCACCCCAGGCATGACTACACTTCAGGCTGGCCACACAGATCAATGTGGATAGAAACACTCTGCAAATGCTGATGGCACCAGCAGCCTCACCCAGTTCACCTCTGGCTGATCAGGAGGAGCATCTGTCAGTGTGGCATACATACGTGTGTAAACATATATACATATACATATGCAATACAGATCTCCCAGTCACTGTCCTAGACACTCAGAGAACTCATTCTCAAAATTATTACAGAGATGGAGTTTCATGAGAAGACAAGACATGGCCAGTCAATTGCACCAGCGAGCCTCCTGTTTATACATGACCAGCTCCTTTTATCCCCTTATCTGCCTTTTCCCACACACGTTTCTCTTCAGGCCACCTTGGTCCTTCCCTTTCCCCACCTTTAACTGCTTGCTTTAAATATCCCATAGTATCTTTTGTACAATCCCAAAATGCCGCTTCTGGCATCCCATAATAAGTCCCTTCAGCCTGCAGGCAGTAAAGTTCCTCAGACTGCAAGGGGCCAAAATCAAAGACAAAGTCATGTGAGATGAAGTACAGGTCAGAGCTGGCTTCTCATCTTAGTTGTGTTGCTGTTGAAAGACAGTGTCTCCTGCTTCTCGGACAAAGCCCAAAGCCGAGCACAGAGACATGGTGGAAGGACCCTTCTCTCTCCTCCATGTATCCCCAATCCTAACAGTTAATGTTGCATGGAAACCTGGGAGGCCACCTGACTGCGCTCTCACATTTTAGAGGGAATGAGAGCCAAACACATCTGTCCTCATTTTCTGGCTCCTGTGATTTCCTTCAATGAAGGTATCACTGCAGCTTTGCAGCTCTGAGGTTTGAATTCAGTGTTTCGGTAAGAGGCTTGCTGTGGCAATGACTGGATGCACGCCCTCTGCCCGAGCAGGGGAGCCAGACCCCTTGCAGTCTCTGGAAAGGCAGAGGCCTGGACAATTTAGGACTGTGAAGAAACAGGTAGCGTTTCAATGATTAAAGGCACTGTGCTGCAGCCAGAAGAGTGTAAAAAGGTATGTGAAAAGCCAGGAAGGGTACTTGCCTAAGGGCAGCAGAACCTGGAGTCCCAGTCGGAGCTCTGTCTTCTCAGTCTCTCACCTCCACCCTCTGCCAAAGCTACTCACTGCTCCACCACTCACAGGCAATAGGAGTGAGACTTTCCCTTCTGGTCACAACCAGGGGAGGAAGTCTCTGCCTCTGCTGTGTATCAGCTGCATTCCCTCACCGCTTTAAAGGTGTCCTGTCCTCAGTCAGTGCTTCTAATGACCACTTGACTTTCAATTCATTTGCAGCAGTGGAAGGATGTGCCTGAATCCACCCTGCTGAAGTTCAGTCTTTCAAAAGCCATCTACCTCTGCTACGCTCTACTCCACCCATGGCAAGGGAGAGACAACGTGTCGTCATTTTTGTGAAAGTTAACCTCCAGTTCATGCTCAGGTTATGGTCCTCTGAGCACTCACAAAGCATGGGTGCATGCTCAGTCTCTGCTCTACAGCAAATCAGCCAGGTACCTCCAAGCTGAGATTTCCCTGTGAGTCTCAGAACAGTCAGTTCCAGGGATGCCTCCAGGTAGTTGGTGTGAATGGGACAGCTCAGGTTTGTGTCCCTCTGCTTTTCGCAGTCTCCTGTGAGTGTTTGAGTGGGTCTTGAGGCCTCAATCACCTCTCATATGCCTCCTGACACATCGCAAGAGAGGCAGTACACGTTCTCTGTGCTCTCCTTTAAAATCATTGCTCTGGTAAGCTGCAACACAAGCATGTCCACTCTGACCTTTCTGGTATTTTGAACAGAAAAATAGACGGGTGCACAGAACAATGATTCTATAATGGAACGACCATGCAGGGCCTGGACATGCCCCAGCCCATGTGCTCAGTAGTCGGGTTGCACAGGCCCATTCAAGGGGTCACAAGCCTTGCAGCGTGTCTTCTCGCTTGGGAAGTCACAGTCTCTTACTTTACAGCTGTTTGAGTTGCCAGCCAAGAGAGGAGTTGTTGAGAACATCAGCACTTTGCTGGAAACGTCAGAACACTGAAGAGGGCTGTGGGTTTGCCCAAGTGCATATTATCATTCAGTGCTGCAGCTTGGTGTTTTCTGAAATGTCTCTTCAGTTTGGGTCTGTGCTCCTCCGATAACACAATCTCACACATCACAGAAAGCAAAGCGGTTTGCAGTTTTCTGTTTTATCTCTCGGTGGGACAGAAATTGTGTGGTTAAAAAGCTTCCAGGAAGCAGATTAACCCAGGTTCAATGTTGTGTTGACAGGCTCTAGAAGAACGAAAAGGTGAAAGGTGAAAGCTAGCAAGCAGGAGAAGCAGGCATTTTCTAAGAAGTCTGGAAAAATCATGGAGCAAGTCCTCTTGTAAGGCACATTAGAGCACATGAAGGAGAGGAAGGGGGTTGGAATAGTCAGCACGCATTTACCAAGGGTAAACCAGGCCTGACCAACATGATCGCCTTCTCTAAATATGGCATTATGGATGGGGGGGAGCAGTGAGTGTCATTTACCTTGACTTCAGCAAGGCTTTTCACATTGTCTCCCAGGATATTCTCCTATCTGGATTAGGATATTATGATCTGAGTGAGTGGACAACGGGATGGGTAAAAACAGGTTGGATGATCAAGTCCCCACCTGAGCTCCAGCTCCAGCTGTGTCTCAGCCATGCCTGCGCCTGGCCATGTAATGTGATGATCTGGACCTGGGCCCATGGACTGACTTACCAGCTTGACCACAGACTTTCCTCATCACTATGGACTTGTCTGATCATCTGGACCCTCACCTTACCCTGACTATTATCCCCAGGCTTTCCTGGTTCTCATCACATGAATACTAAGGGACCGGGGCCTTTTTGGCAAAGCCACTGCTTCTGCCTGCCTTGTTATCTCTCTTGGCTACTCACTCCCTTTCACTCAGGAAGCTGCCCCTTCTTGTTGCTCCCAAATACATGGAGGTTTTCAAGACCTGACTGAATAAAGCACAGAGCAATTTTGACCTCATAGATGACCCTGCTTAGAGCATCAGGTTAGACTAAATGACCTCCTGAGGTCCCTGCTCACCTGCATGAGTATATCATGCAGTGTAATGAGTAAGCTCTCATGGAAAACCAGCATATCTTTCACCAGTGATAAGAACATGATGTGAGTCTCCAGCAGGTCCTGTGCCTTAGCTACTCTGACAGGTGATTTCTGATATCCTGAGAGTACCTCTGATGGCAGTCAGCCCCTCGGATAAGAATCAGGACCTCTGCCTGGCCCTGTTGAGCTCTCACTGTTCCTATCAGGGGACAGGGAAAAAAAGAAAAAGAAAAAGAAAAACCCAAAACAAAACAACCCAACCCATATCTAGGATCCAAGGAGGCTCTTGCCAAGGGTCTCCAATGAGATGTGCATTCGACTGGAGATATCCCACTCCTCTCACTGCTGCCTGGGTACTGAGCACTCTGGGTGCTCTGAAAAAGACCTGATCTCTCCAGCTGTTGGAGGAGATGGTGACAAAAAACAGAGATTGTGACACGAACCCCTCACCAAACCACAGTCTGGGGTTTGTAAGAAAGAAAGCGGCAAACGACACAAGCTGAAAGCAGGCTGAGGTTTCCTGTTTCAGCTCCAAACTTCGTATATATAGATTGCCATTCTGTACCTGTCTCCTGCCTGGCCATAACAACTGTTTTGGTGCTTCAGGACAGTGGCGGAAGATGCTGCTTCTCCTTCTGCTTGCAAGTGCTTTTCTCCTTGTTCCAGGGTCTGGGGCTGGTGAGTACACAGAAACAGGATTGACGAGGACATGCAAGGGCAGAAATGGGCACTGGGTAGGAAATCTGTCTGGTACCTGCCTTGCCGTTTCTCATATCTCTACTCTCTCTTCTACTCATCTCTCTCAACTCAGACTGTGCCTGACAGCAGTGACGCATTATAGGTACTAGCGTACTGCCCTTTGATAGCATTTCAGACATCCAGAGTCAGGTATGGTCAGTCATCCCCAGGAAGTGTTGCTTGTTTTTCTCTCCACTGTGCATAAGCAATGCTTTGGACAGCCCAAGGAAGGAGAGTTATTGGCATCATTGGCATATGATGTCAGAGGATGACCCTCTCTCCTCATGCAGCTCCAAACTTGATGGTAAATAGTGGCATATGTGATAGTAACACTTCTCATCTCTCTTCCAGGAAGGATCATTGGCGGATGGGAAGCTAAGCCCCACTCCAGGCCCTACATGGCCTATTTATTAATTGGAAGTGAGTCAGGTAGATCTCAGTGTGGAGGGTTCCTACTTCGCCCAAATGCAGTGCTCTCAGCAGCTCACTGTGTGGCTCGAAAAACGTAAGGCCCTGTCTTTCTTGTATGTGGGTTTTCTTCAAGTCCTGGTCTGGGGTGAAAGAGTACTCTGTAGTCTCTTCAGGCACAGCAGGGCTCTCTGTGAGCCGAGCCATCCCCTGTGAGTTGCAGGAATTGGCTGCCAGGGGCTGTGTGCCTGGGACAGGATTCTTCGGCAGCGGTCTCCTGGTCCATGGTTCCTACCATGGGTCAGAGCTACTGTTGGACAAGAGGGGCTGGTGTCTCCCATTCCCTGTCTCCCTCTTGTCTTCAGAATGGGACACCTCAGACCTGTGTCAGCATGGGGTAAGGGACCCTCGGTTGAATTGTGGAAGGAACCCAGGCTACAGAGGGCAACTTGCGGAGAACTAGTCTCTGGGGAGGCATACCCCCACCTCCCTCAAACCACCTGACGTGGGGGCTGTGTGGCTGTGTGGCTGTGGTCAGCGCAGCTGGAACATGTTGGTGTTTCCTGGCAGGAAAGTGAATATCACTGTGACCCTGGGAGCCCACAACATAAGTAAGAAAGAGCCGAGCCAGCAGGTATTCCACATTCGCCACTGGGTCATCCACCCCAGCTATTCAGGAGATACCCTTGAAAATGACATCATGCTGCTGAAGGTATGTCCCCACACATCCTTGCTGCCTGAGGGGTCTCCCCCTGCTCACTTCCCCAACCCCATGAACTTGTTCCCATTCCTTTGCCTGCTCTAATCCTACGTTCTCTATGCTTGGCAGCTGAAGCCAAGGGCCAAGCTGACTAAGCAAGTGAGTTCTATCCCCTTGCCCAGTCACAACGAGCATGTGGAACCGGGAACTATGTGCACAGTGGCTGGCTGGGGCTGGACATCGACGACACAGGATAAGACTAGTGTGCTG